GCAGCACGCGTTTCATGATATGATGCACCGCAAAGGGCAAAGATGGCAACAAATTCTTTGACACTTTTCCCATAGAGAGGTGTGGACTATGAGTGTCCTCTACCCTTGGATCAAGGCAGGCTCTGTGACTGCTCTGACAAATAGAATAAAGGAGTCATGTTCTGACAATCCGCTTTCTTTGTCCTGCAACATTTGCTTTTGGAACCCAGCCATTTGAGGCAGCTACAACAAGCTCATCCCACATGCAGCGCTTGCCTATGGATGTTGCCATCCGGTTTTAGCTGAACTTTCACCTAACAACCTGTGTCAGCTGCCATGTGAGTGGGCCATCTTGGACGCTTCAGATGACACCAGCCCCGGCCATGTCTCTACATGAGAACCCAGGGCAGAAACACCCAGCTAAGCTCCAACAATCCACAAAACCATGAGAGACAATAACAAACTGTTGTTTTGAGCTGCTAGATTTTGAGATGGTTTGCTGTGGAGCAAAAACAACAGATAACTGAAATAGCAGCCAACATTGTGAAACTGTAAGCTGTGTAAAACTTCACCTTCCCTGCTGCATCCCCCAGCTTCTAGAATAGTAACTGGCACACCGTAGATAGATTGATAAGTGTTTGTGGTGAATGAACAATTAGCAATATTATTGATGTAATTACTGACTGATTCAAATGACTTGAAAAGCCACTTTTAAAAAACTATTAAGCAGGGACACCTGGGTGGCTCAGTCGGTTAAGCGTCCAACTCTTGATTTTGGCTCAGGTCCTGATCTCACGGTTCGAGTTTGAGCCCCACGTTGGGTTCTGTGTTGACAGCATGGAGCCTTCTTGGTCCTCTGTCTTCCTCTCTCTCTGCTCTTCCCCAGTTGCTCTCTCTATAGCTCTTTCAAAATAAGTAACAGTACACTGAAAAAAAAATAACCATTAAGCAAAGTTTAAATGTCTTCTTTTGGCTTAATAAATGACTTGAGCAAGTAGAGAACATTAAAAAAAAATCATACTATTAATCTCATATCTACATTCAGAACTGGGTCATACATTTGACCTACCTAAAAGCGGGTCTCTTAAAAAATAGAATGTGTCAACCTAAATATTTAAAGGTCTCATTAAGGATGCTGTTTTGAGGCTTTATAATCTTTTACATCTAGTCCTTCAAAAAATCTTTTATCTTACCTTTTGCTATTCCTCCAGAAGCACCAGGGCCAGCAATAAAGGGAAAAGATGCAACAAAAAAATAACCTAAGAGGAGAAAAGGTACTCATTTTGCTTTGATGATGTATTTCTGGGATTCTTATAAAGCAAAAAATAGTTTCCCATTCTCTCATCCCCTCTCTCTCTCTCTCTCTCTGCCTCTCTCGCTCTTCCTCCACTTTCCCTCTTTCCCTTCCTTTCACTGTTTTCTTTCTAGAAGACAAACTTTAAGTGGTTTTTCCATTTCTAAGCTTCTTATCTGAACTAATAGAATCAGTTATGGACCAGCACTGGCATACAGAAATGATTGAATAATGAATGGATGATGGCCTAAGGAACGATGAATAGAGTTAATGAGAATTGAATATTCTATGCAAGGGTTTTCCTATACCAATAATAATCTATATAAGTAGGAGCCCATTTGTATTGTTTTTTATTTGGGTAATTAAAAAGCAGCATCTGTTTATATGCTCATCAATCCATATAAAGACAGGTGAGATTATAATGTCATATACTGAAAAAATAAAAAAAAATAAAATTTAAATATCATACAAAAATATACTGTTGTGTAGTGATCATCACTGAAAAATGAAAGGGAGTTATAGATCATTCTAAAATTAAAGTAATAATCCTCATTACATAACTCAATTATTGGACGATTTGTATTATGCTTACCTCAAAATGCAGTAAGACATTTAAAGAAAAATTTGGCTCTAAATGGAATTTTTACTACCAAACATACATGTATTAGATTTAATCAATATTTACCTTTCTGAAATAAGAGAAAGGCCTGAGGCTTATTTTAGAAATAAATAAAACTATTGTTTATTTGTTTCCTCAGTGGCCCCCTCTGTTTCCAGCTGTGGCTGTCAGTAATCAATCTTTCACTTCACATAGGTCTTTTTATTCGTTTACTTGCTTTGGAGCCATACTCAGAGTATATCCCCAGTCAGGTGGCATTGTTGTGGTTTTCCTCTTTCAAAAGTAGATGAACTCTTCCAAAGGTTATATTCTCTCATGCAACCAAGAAATCTTCCTGCTCAAGACTGTACACTGCTATTTCCTTTCATTTCAGGCATTCCTACTCAACCCCCAAGTACTGGCTTATCCCATTTTGACTAAATTCTTGTTCCAAAATTATTCATCTTTCTAACGACTTACCTGTTGCTTTTTTTTCCCCACAGGAAGCAAGGAGGAAGCAATTTTGGTATCACCAACTATATACTTCACATCAACACACTAAAAAATTACAGAGCATCGTGTCTGTTCAGGATACTGTTTTTTTAACTGGTGAGCTCCTCTTCTACCATTCTCCTCACAGGTATTCCTGAGACATAGTTCTGTTGGAGCACAGACAATGGCAAAGAAAGACCATGGAATTAGTGACCCAAATGCTCTGCTTTGGTTTTTATATAGGGATTTAGATCTAAGTGCTTCTGATATTTCATCATTTCTCCTAACGAGTAATTCAGGCCTATTTCTTCCTAAAGCAGAAGATATGGAATATTCAGATAAATAAATGGATAGATATTCCTTCTAAGTATTTAATGGATCAGTCTTTGTCAGGACAAGTAAGATAGAGTAGCTACTATAAAGATGGCTACTTAAGATGCATAAAACTATTTTAACCCTTTATGTGTGCTCATTTCTTATATATTTTCAACTTGTACCCGACAAACTGTCTTAAAGCACTGCCCCAATTCAGGGTGCTTCGAACTGCTTCAGTTCTATACTTTCAGTGTTGGGTACTCAGTTATGGGTACAGAAGCTTCCTAATCACTAATTGTCCAGGGCTCTACCCTCCTCTTTTTGGGATTATGGGTGTTTTAAGGGCGTGGAGTAGATATGGAGGGAATGTCCATGTACAAGCATTAGTTGGGGCCAATCAGAGCCCTCTGGCACAGATAGGGGTCATTGGTGAGATGGCCTTCAAGACCTCCATTAATGCCTTTTGTGGTTAGGATGACTATACATCCTAGCTTACCTAAGATATTCTAGTTTATGCTATTGTCCCTATTGTTCTAATGTAATCGGTGCCCTTTTCACTCTCAAGTGTCCCAGTTTGGGCAATAAATTATGTGGTAACCCTGTTTATCACAGAGCTTTACCGAATGTACCTACTTTGGCAGCTTTTGTTTTATGGGCTCTCTGGACCTGTTCTCCTCCCCACCCTATGATTAAACTTCCAGCCTCCTCTCCTGACTAACCCCAAGTCTTTTCATCCCCAGGAATTCTTTCCCTCCTCCCTTTTTCATACCTGGAAAGCTTCTCTCCTTCAAAGCCACCCTCTATCTCCTGTTCATTTTTTTTTTCACAATAAACTTTAGACCCAGACACTGCAACTATTTTATCTCCACAGATGGTCAACACACACTGGACATTAAATATTTTTTAATGCTGCCATACTAGTCATTAAATATTTTTTTAAAACACCCCCTCCCCCCATCTAGAAGCCATCAACAAAGGCATCTTTCAGACTTACTAAACCAGTCTATCATAGCAGAGAGGGCCCAGACATGTTTCTCATATACGGTGGGCACTGAGTAGACCTGCACCTTGAATGCCATCACTTAATTCTTACAATCCCAAAGAGGCAACACAGTAAAACATTTAGGAGCACAAGATTTTGAAAATAATCTACTACTAAGGTTTAAATCCAGGTTCCAACACTTACTAATCTTTGAAAAGTTATTTTAGATCTCTGTGCTTCAATTTCCTCTGTAAAATATGATAAACAGTACTTCTCTTCCTGCCTATGGTAAATATCAAGCAAGTTAGTAAATGTAAAGCACCGAGATCAGTGCCTAGCACAGTCACTGCTTTTAAGATATTATCGGCTAGTGGTGATGCTGAGATCTACACCCAGGTTTTCTAAATCTAAACTCCATGCTTTCTGTGACACCACTACCACTCAAATGCTCTCCCACGTATAACAAAAAGCAGTACGAGGCCAATGAAAGATATGGAAGTACTTTATTTTATCTTGTGACACCATATAACAGCCAGATTTACATACGTCTAACCACAGTGTGTAGTAGATCTGAATAGGGAAGATGGCTCAGAAATAGCAGTATTTGTAATTCAAGTATTGACCTTTCTTTGATAAAGGAAAACAGTTTTGTGGACGGATTGATTTTGAAATGCAATTTTATACAGTTGTTTTCTTAAAAGAACACTTTTGAACCAAATATAAACAAGGTAGTTTATTCACGTAATGAACCTGCAGTTGAAAACAAGCTTAAAATTTCCCATCTCAGCCCATTTTTCTCTTTTCAGCACTGCAAATGCTTCCTTCTGTCATCATGCTGAATTCCTCAGCATCTTCCATACCATTCCCAAGGGAATCCCTGGGAAGTAGTGCATGTCTGTATTCCTTCAGAAGGACACAGATAACCTGGAATTTTTCTTACCACATTTCCAATATTCCTGTAACTTACACTTCCTGCTCTTTTGAAATATGCTTCTTTTTGGCCCACCAGAAAAAACATAACACTAGGACTCTGAAAACCTAGATTTTGGACATGGCTATGTCATAAACTAGAGAATAAGCCTAAATAGGCCATGAAACCTCCCCAGCTCTCTGTTCTTAATTGCAAAAAACAAGTCCTATTTGTCCAGTCCTTTATTGTTATTTATGTTCACGGTAATCATTAGAGTTAAATAAGGCAGCATTTTGTTCATTGTTTAGAGAAAATTCAGTCTCCAAGAGGCTACACAATCTACCCAAGATCCCACGGGTGGTAGTATGACAGAGCTAAACTTACATAACCTCACTCAAGACCCTCGTGCCAATACACACTGTACTCATAAGTTAGTTCAATTGACGAAGCAGCAATTTCCCAGGTCCCTTCCAATAATCACATTTCACGCTTCTTGCAATTTTTTCTCTCTTCCTTCAACCAGCATTTAAATGAGAAAACATACATATAATTCATCACCAAATTTCATTTACCATGGTTCTTTGATTTAACCATTCTTCACAATTTTCTTGTTATTTCTCTATTAAATCCAGAGAAGTTACTTTTCCAGACAGCTCTCACGACTGCCTGCTTCTCTGAAAGCTTCTGGATTTACCCGTTTGTCAAAACAGAGACTGCTAAAATTTCATAAATATCAATTCCTTTTTATAATTTTAAGAAGTTATTCCATACATAAAACCAATTCAAAACAAGAGAAGTCCTCACTGTTATTCCCTATAATAATAAAAATGTATTTTCTATTGATTTTGTGTCCACTTTCCTGTCTGCTTTCATTTGGGAAATACTGTTATCCTACCTCACTGTCAAGTCTCCCTTACCCTAACAATATAGTCACAAAAGGTAGGAAAACTCTTACTTTCACAATTCCATAGGAAGAATAAATTAATCACCTAAATTGGATGGCAAAACTTTGAATGTTAAATGAGGGAGATACAGGACATTTCCCAAGAGATCATATGATCAATTTAAAAGCTGATGATATGATGTGCTAAAATTACACATTAACTTTTTTATTTATAATAAATGTATACATGTGATTAGTCCTGCTGATATTACACACAAACATATGCCTAAACCGAATTAAACTTTACAAGAAAACAAAATTCATTCTACCAGCAATCCTGAAAATTCAGCAGAGCTCAATAAATAGTATGCTCTCCCAAGGAGGGAGCTTTAAACATTCAGTAATTTGAAACTAAATGAGAAACTAAACAGGGCATGGGTTTGGGGAATACATATAGGAAAAGTAATTTCAACATTTTCTTCATTTTGATGGTATTGCTTTCTTGTCTTCAGGAGGGATGATTTTGACTTCAAAAGTAACAAAATATTTGAGAAGGGATTTTACATCTTTCTGTTCTAGACAGTATTCTTCTGCTATTTTCTCAGCAGTCCACGTTTCTGGATAAAGTTTATGATTATTGAGAAGTGTCAATGCCTCTACAATGGAAATTTTGCCTTTGGGAATGTTCTTAATACTCATCATGTTAAAGTCTTGGCCTTTTACCAATCTGAACTCCTTTGGCTCTTGACGTTTTCCGGCATCTGTTACCTAGTATCAAAAAACAAAAACAAAGGGCTTTCAAGATGAGAGAAAAGATGTGACATCTACTTTCATGCTTCTCAAATCTCCACTATTCTTCAAATAAATGCTACATATGCTTCTCCAAACTAGGCTTTCTCATTACAATGACCCACACATTCAACGGCACTTTTGCAAATCACTATTTTATAACTACAGCTCAATCATCATTAAGAAATCTAGGTAGTTCTACAAAATAACAATCAATTGCCTACCATCCACTCATCACATTATTTCATGCATATTAAAATAACAAAAATGAATTGATTAGATTAAATCTGTTTTAGGAGGGCAGAATTCTGATGCTGCCCTAATAACTTACTTGATAATCTCCATTCTGTTTCATAGTTTTTTATTTCATATTCAATACCTCCAAACACCTTAAATGAATTCAAATATGCTAGGGATTTTGCCTCTTGAGAGAAAATAAACTAATACACAAACATAATAAAAAAACCCAACCTATGTACACCGATCTTTCCATCTGTCTGTCCCATCCAAGTATAATCCTTGTGCTGTGCCCTGTATTTCATTCATTACTTGGCCTTGCCAATCATTCCCTTTTCCTTTTTCTTTCAATTGTACCCTGCCTAATGCTGCTGTTTGGTCAAAATACAAAAATGCCATAGTCACTATCTTTTAAAAATGCCCACCAAACCCAGAACAACTTTGTTTATGGCCAGTTTCGTTTTCTCTAGTTAAGCTTTAAAGATGGTATTCGTGATCTCTGATCCAGGATTAGATTAGATCTTAATGCAGAAGACACTTTTCAGGCTTCAAGTATACTCACTATAGATCACTATAGCCATTGACCATAATAACCTTCCCCTTGGTTTCCATGCCACTCCTTTTCCTAGCTTTCCATCTGTCTCTCTAGTGGGTCCTTTGTTCTTGTGGACTTTTCCCTCTTCAGCTGCCCCCTGAAGGTTAGTGTGCTCCCAGTTCTGGCCCAAGCCCTCTTTTCAGTCTTCACATTCTACTACAGTAATCCCCCACACACCCTAGACTTCCATTATTACTTATGTGTTAATAACTTTCCAAGCTGATCTCAAACCTAGACCTTTCTCCTTACTTACAGATCCAAATTCCCAAATGTGTAAAGGGCATCTTTACTTGGATTATCTATAAGCACCTCAAAATCAGTATGTCTAAAACTGAAATTACCCCTTTCCTCTGAAAATCCAATTCTATCCCATATTTTCTATCTCAGTGACCAATATCACTTCCCTCTGTATCTCATTCCAAAACTTAAAGCGTTTGTTATGTCATATTATACCTGCCATCTCCCTCTCCCTCATGCATATCCAATCAATGACCAAATCCTGTTGATAATGACTTCTAAGTCCCTCTTGAACACATTCACTTCTCTCCTGGTCACTACATCACCCTAGTTCAAGCCAAAGTCTCCTGTGGGCACTACTACAAAAGCCTCCGGACTGGTCTCCTTTGATTAGATAAAATGCATTTTATTCCCTTCCAGCCCATTATGAAGCCAATCAGGTAAGAAACTCTTCAATGACATTCCACTCTCCTCAAGATAAAACCCAAATTTCTTAGCAATACAAATAAGGATCTTCATGATTGGGTCCCTATTACCTCCATCCTATCTCAATTCTCCCAAATTTATTGCTCACAGTTTCCCCTGACTGTAATGAAGTCTAACTGGTTCCGGAAGGCATAATACTCTTCTACCTCTATATTGTAACTCTGGCCTGAAATATTCATCCAAACTTCTTCACTTTCCAAAATTCAAAGCTTCTCTTATCTTTCTTAACTTTCTCAGGTAATCCTTCCTCCACTCGATATACATTTTTATTCAATTTCCCTTCTGTTTAATATTAAATACTAAAATATTACGACACTGAACAGTATCTGAAAATTCAACATCCTCTCTTGATTAAAAGAAAAAACAAAGCAAACAAAAAACTCTGAGCAAATTAACAATAAAAAAGTCCCAAATGTGAAAAAAGTATTTTTAATCAGAAACCATATCACTTTATTATAATTAAGGCTGAAACATTAAAGACATCCTATTTAAGGAAACAGCAGGATAGAATACCAATTTTCACTGCTATGTTAATGCTACAAACACAATAAATGTAGTAGTACACGTTATGAGAAAACTAATTCTATGCTGATATGAGAGAATCTTCAGAAAAATAATACAACAAACCGAAAAACTAATAGAAATAACCTTGCAATGTGGGTAGCTGTAATACAAAAATCACTCACTTTCTGCAAATTAGCAATAGTTAAAAACCTTAGGGTGAAATAAGATCCTATGGTAGCAACCTTCCCTCTATCCCCCCAAAGCTGAGTAATACAAAGATGTTAATTCTCAAATTAACCTGTACATTCCAATTCAATTACACTAAAAATCCAAATCAGAATTACTAAAGAACCTGACCATTTGATTCTCAAGTTCATCTGGAAAAAAGTGTGACAAGAGTCATGAAACTTTTGGGGAGTAGTGTGGGATAGAAGGTTGTAACAGATATCAAGACACATTACAAACTTCCATTAATTAATATAGTATGATCCTAGTATCGAAATAGAAAAGCAGGTAGAACTGATGAATCCATAAAGAGACTTGCATATATTAGTATTTTAAGTGAGTGGAGAAAAAACCTGGCTATTCAATAAATTATATTTAGACAACTGGCCATCCAGTTGAAAAGATCTCCACACACCACTGTAATCTTTATGTAAAATAAAGATTTTAACAGAAAATATACAGTCATAACAGCAGGATAAACTGCTTTTATGTTGGAGTGAGTCCAGACTTCCAATACCACAAAAAACAAAAAGACTAACATATTTGACAGAATTCTGAATAGCAATATTAAGTTAAAAAGCCAGACAAAAAGGGCGCCTGGGTGGTTCAGTTGGTTCAGCATCCAACTTCAGCTCAAGTCACAGTCTCACGGTTCATGAGTTCAAACCCCGCAACATGCTAACTGCTGTCAACACAGAGTCTGCTTTGGATTCTCTGTCCCTCCCTGGCTTGTGCAGGTGCGTGCACTGGCATGTGCTGTCTCTCTCAAAAATAAACACAAAAAAGTCACCGGGCGCTGGGGTGGCTCAGTTGGTTAAGCATCTGACTTCAGCTCAGGTCATGATCCCACAGTTCTTGAGTTCGAGCCCCACATCAGGCTCTGTGCTGACGGCTCACAGCCTGGAGCCTGCTTCAGATTCTGCGTCTCCCTCTCTCTCTGCCCCTTCCCTGCTTGCACTATCTCTCTTCCTTAAAATAAATAAACATTAAAAAAATTTTTTTTAAATAAACAAAATTGATATATACACAGTATCACTAATGTCTACAAACATCACAAATCGTTAAGAAAACTATGAATTACCCAAAAGAGAAAAAGGGGCAAAACATAAATAGGTACTTCAACCTGTTTTTCATTGTCATTCGAGTCTTTTTAGACTTTTCCCCCAAATTTTAATACGACCATATATCTCCTTGTGTATTGTATCTATGTAACTGTATTCATAAAAACTTAAATTTTTTTCACTCCCCAAGGGCCAGTTTTTTAATGCATCATTTAGTATCATTTAGTATAGCATGAGAGAACCAGCAGTCAGAAGTATTATTCAACACCTGTTATTGTTGGAAGTATTTAACACACAAAAAATGAACATCAACCCTTCCATCTTTTTTACGGGAACATCTGGTGATAAATGAGCCCTATAATTGCTATTACATGCAACAATTCACAAACCTTATTTTACCTCAGTTTTATTTTGCTTATCTAATGAAAATTACATTAATAAGTTTATCTGTGCAAACAGTATTACCAATCTAAACAGAGAGGACCAGAGAATTTTCGAATGGAAAAACAGCTGGGAGTTGTCATTGGCACTTTCCTCTCCTTTAATCCCACTCTTCCCCCTACTGAGATCCTTCCTGCCCCAACAAACTCATCTAGTTAACTCAGGTTCATCCCTCAGGCCTGAGCTTAAATGTCCCTTTCTCAGAAACCACCCTTGGTTGTCCAATCACAAACAGGTCCCTCTGTAGACTCACAGTGACTATACTTCTCTGTCACAGTCGTATCAGTAATTATGTACTTATGGTTGCTCATCTGTTTAATGTCTGTGTCCCTCACAATATTATAAGCACTGAGAGCAAGGACTAAGTCTGTTTTGTTCATATATATACAAAGCACTTGTGCACTGTATTTATATATAGATCTTACATATAGGTTCCCATTCCCAATGTATTCCATAAACTCCCAATTTTTACGTTTCCTATCTGAATATATCTTTAAAAAACAAAACACCAACAACACAACACTAAAGGAATCCCTGAGATTGGGACAAAACTCAACCCACTTAAAGATGAGAAAACAGTATTAAAGCTCTCCTCTTCAAATGACAATCATTGGAAGTACCTTACAAAATCCTACAAATTGTGAAATAATACCGCCACTGAGCTTAAGTTTTGCCAATGCCCTGTACACTGGTCACAACTACATTGACAGTTTTAAACAGGCAGAGTGCTCACTCTCTTTCACTACCTACCACACTTCTCTTGTTCGTTTCCCTGGAACACAAAAAGGTTCAATTACTTACCTGCTGAATTAAAACACACATTACCTTCACAGAAGACACAGGATCTTTGGAATCAACATACACATCTCTTAGGAAGGACAGCAGTTTGTCATCTTTTCTAGCAACTTCTCCCTTAATTTCTGGATGGTCTAAGAAAAAGAATGTCACGATATTAAACCCAAAGAAAATTCCCTCTAAGATCCTAACATTTAACACAAGGCAGCCACTTTTAATTTTTTGCTTAATGAACAATCACTCGGACAATATAGGAAATATTGTACATGTAAATCAAAATGCTAGGTCAGGCCCGGCGTCCACCGTTCTGTGAAGACCCCTAGAGGGCACTTCCGAGGAACTTCGGACTCGGATTCCGGACCTCAAGCATTAAAGGTAAAAGCCTCCGAGGGCCAGTACGGCCTGGGTAGCGGCCGCCACCTCCGCAACTTCGAAATGGGCGGAGCCGCCACTCCACCGAGGGCGCAATGGGACAGTCTCAATGTCACCGGCCTGGGAGATTCACCTTACCGCGCTCGGCTGACAAGTCACTGCGGCCAACCCCGGTCACCCCCGCCACTGGACCAAGATCCACGGGCATGGAACCCCCAAGCCCGCCCCGGGACCCCGCGCGCGGAGTCCAAACGCTCCCTTGCACCACTTACGGCTCAACTGCTCTCGCAGCAGGCTCTTAGTGGAGGGGTGCCTGGGAGCGGGAGAGGGCTTCATTTTGCTGATTTCCCGTTCCGCCCGGTTCTCTAGGTTGAAATTCCTGATTGCGCGAGACACAGCAGCCCCCATCTCCTCACAACATGATGCGCTCTGGGTTCACACCACACGTGGGAAGTCGCCGGCACCGGCGCCCTCCTGGACGCATGGAGCATGCGCACGCGTGGGGTCGATCCGGCCCATTGCCGAAAAATGGGCGCCAAAGCGCGCCGTTCGCCCCCTAGCGGGCGGGAGGGCGCACGCCGCGTCTCCGCCCTGAGTGTGTCATAGCGAGCGCCTCCCTTCGGGATGAGAGGCTTGCGACAGCCTTTGGCTACTTCCGGGGGGAGGGGCCTCGGGAGGGGCCCCCGGCCTAAGCTGAGACCCGCGTCTGTTCTCAACCCTGCAAGTTCGGAAGTCGGGAGAGAAGCTTTAAAACCATACCTGGCCTGACCTCCCCCAGACTTTCTGATTTAATTCTAATGACCGGCGTTGGTTCAAGCTTTCCACGTGATTTCAAAGTTGCAGGCTGAGTAGAGAATCAAAGTGGTAAGGAAATCGAAGACCTTGACGTCCTTTCACAGGTCAGGGCCGCTGAAGGAAGCGGATAAAAATCGAACTGACTGCACCAGGATAAAGGAAGGTCCTAAAATCGCCCTTTCCTGTTTTCTGTGAGGAAAATAATGAAAGTGTATTCTTTCAGGGCACCTGGCTTGGCTGGGTAGATGAAGCCTGCAACTCTTGAACTCGAGGCCCACCTTGGATGTAGAGATTACTTTAAAACATTGTTTAAAAATCTTAAAAAAAAAAAAAGAAAAGAAAAGAAAAAGCAGTTTGATTTGCTTGTATCCGTTTCAGTCCTGCTGTCCTTTCTCTTTTGTTTATTTTTGATACTAATGTGTGTTATTTATGTATACTATTAAGTTCTGTGTCACCACGTCATTCCCTAACTTCTTTCTCTTTTAAAGCCAGAGAAACTTCCCTGTAACTTAGTGAAAGGAATAGCCAGTAAGACGTTAGGAAAAAAAACACCAGTATTGTTACATACTCTCTCTTCCTGCCTCCCCACCTCCCCACTCCCCATTTGTAAACATTATTATGTTGCTCCTTCTACTTGAGATTCTTTAGAAATATTGTCGTATATATATATGTATATATATATATACATATACATATATATGTATGTATATATATATGTATATATATATACATACATATACATATATATGTATGTATATATATATATACATATATAGTCATTAATCCATAAAAGATAAAAGGGACCCACTAGCAAGTAGCAGGGTTTCCAAAGTTACCATATTTTTATAGACTGGTTGTAATGTTTTTAGTGTCCTCATCTCTCAGCAAAATGAAGGTGGTTGTTTTTGACCAGTTAAAAGCAAGGGAAAGAATTGATGTAAAGAGAATTGAATCGAAGTAATTAAAAAAAAAAAAAAAGAATCAAAGAAAGGGGCATTTTTATTTAAATAAAACTAATGGTTTATGTATTAAATTATTAAATTTAATACTTAATTATAAGAAAAGTACTGCAAGGAACATAGCTTCCACCATTGATTATCACGAAATCTGTTTTTACTGGGATTGGTCTTTGACATTGATATAAAGCCAGCTTTTTCTTCTAGAGTTAGTTGGGAAGTTATCCTGCAGGTGGCAGTCTGCTCCAAGATTTCCATCTTTGAGACTGGGCATGCCTAGAACTCCATGCTTTATAGCCTAGATACTGGAATTTCTTTGTGTGCCAAGAAACTTTCATCTGCCTCATTATGTCCACGAGCTTCATCAGTTAATGGTAGCATGTTATATTCACGGCTTATTAAAATATTTTAAAAGTAAAAACCTCATTTTCGTAGAAATTTTACCATACTTCTAGTAGCACATTAGATATACTTCTAGGAGCATAAAAGTAACGTGGGACAGAAGTTACAGGAAGTGTAGGGGGTTGTGGAGATAACTAAATGAAAGGATTCTTTGAATTCCCACAGGTAGATAGAGTTTGGATCCAGTGTTTCAGAAACCTCCAACCTCCAGCTACTTGCCTGGTCCTGGTCTGGTGCTGCTCGAGCCCTTGGAGCAGAACTGGAGCAGAGGTACTCCCATCAGAAATGCACAATTGACTGTCATCGTTTGGGAATCATCATGGAAATAAAGCCTAAGTCATAAATGCATAATTCTAGCTCTTCTTGTCAAAAGAAGCATAGTAACGGGAAGTCTGGGCTCAGAACCCTTCCAGTTTCTGTAAAGGGATGCAGTCAGGTCCCCAAGGAAAGGATAACCAGGATACTGCTCAGAATTAATCATATCTCTGAACAGAATGTTATGATGGGTATTTATTACTAAATATCTTAACATACTAATGAAATAAACCCAGGGTCTTGCCAACACAATAGTATATAAATTCTATGAGGACAGAAATTTGTGTCTATTTTGTTTATTGCTATATTCATCACCTTGAACAGTGCCTGGCACATAGTAGGTACTAAACAAATGTCAAATAAATATCAAATAAACCCAAAGGCAAGTAGGGCCCCTGTGCTGGAGTCCAGACCCTAGACAGGTTTCCTCTGCCAGAAGTGGATTCTTGTGAAATTTACTCACTCTGGTCAAACCTACTCTCCTCATTTTAAATTTGGGAGGATAGGGGCGCCTGGGTGGCGCAGTCGGTTGAGTGTCCGACTTCAGCCAGGTCATGATCTCGCGGTCCGGGAGTTCGAGCCCTGCGTCAGACTCAGGGCTGATGGCTCAGAGCCTGGAGCCTGTTTCCGATTCTGTGTCTCCCTCTCTCTCTGCCCCTCCCCCGTTCATGCTCTGTCTCTCTCTGTCCCAAAAATAAATAAACGTTGAAAAAAAAATTTAAAAAAAAATTAATTTGGGAGGATAGTAATTAGTGGGTTTCACACAGTTTAAAAATATAATATATATATATATGTATTATATCTAACATAGGTTTATTTCTGAGCTCTCCATTCTGTTCCATTGATCAATATGTCTGTTTTTATGCCAATACCATACAGTTTTATTGCTGTAGATTTGTAATATAGTTTGAGATCCAGGATCTCAGCATGATGTCTGCAGCTTTGTTCTCAAAATTGTTTTGGAACCAGTAAATTTTTGAAAAACAGCAATGAGGAAGAACTTACCCTGTAAGATACCAAAATACAATATAAAACCTTACAGTGTGATACTGATACAGAAATAGGTAAATAAATCAATAAGTATAATAGTGACAAGACAGATCTAATTATGTACAGAGTGACATTTAAAATCACCCTGTATTGGGGTGCCTGGGTGGCTTCGTCAGTTGAGCATCTGACTCTTGATTTCAACTCGGATCATGACCTCAGTTCCTGGGATCGAGCCCTGCATCAGGCTCTGCACTGACAGCTCGGAGCCTGTTTGGAATTCTCTCTCTCTCCTGCTCTCTGTCCCTTCCCCCACCCAAATAAGTAAATTTAAAAGAAAACTTAAAAAAATAATAATAAAATAACCCTGTGATGTAATGATCCAAACAGCCACATTTCCAATGTCATTTATTTACCAGTCCACTTCCCTTGCTCTCCACCCCCATTCATCACTTGCTGTTTTCTTGTTACTCTCCAGTTTTCCCTGCACCAGGTTGCTTTTATTTGTTTTTAAAAATATTTTAAATGTTTACTCATTTTTGAGAGGCAGAGAGACAGAGCATGAGCGGGGGAGGGGCAGAGAGAAAGGGAGACACACAATCCAAAGCAGGCTCCAAGCTCTCAGCTGTCAGCACAGAGCCTGTGCACGGGGCTCAAACTCACGGAGTGTGAGATCATGACCTGAGCCAAAGTCGGAGGCTTAACCAACTGAGAAACCCAGGCGCCCCAGATTACTTTTATAGTTTATCTACCCTTCCATATCCCTGGGATCTTACTTTTTATGGAAGTAAGAAATGTTCCATCATGGCTAGGTTTTGGTTTAATTCTTTTTAAAACAAAAAATTGTTTTAATGTTTATTTATTAGTTTTGAGAAAGAGAGAGAGAGAGAGAGAGAGAGCAGGGGAAGGACAGAGAGAGAGGGAGACACAGAATCCAAAGTAAGCTCTATACTCTGAGCTGTCAGCACAGAGCCCCACACGAGGCTGGAACTCACCGACAGAGCCACCCAGGCACCCCAGTTTTGGTTTGATTCTAATGAGGTAATTTTGTTCTGTCCTTCGCAATTTAATCAGTACAATAATTCTCCCGCTTGGCCCCAGCTACAGAAGGTATCCCTGACAGTTTGGCAAGGAATTAAAAAAAAAAGTGCAATGTCATAAATAACAAGCAAATACTCAAGAAATAATTTTCATTTCAAAGATTATGAAACAGAGAATTCCAGAAGTTCTCCTTAAAAGCTATGAAAAGCAAACTGTAGGCAGAGCAGTTTACCTTAGCTAGTGAATCCAACGCAGTAACTTCAGAGCTAGGGTCCATGTTTGTTCTCTCCATCTGTCTGTCCATCTTCAGGTCTAGCCTTTTCTTTCTGATAGTGACTGTCTCTCTGACTGTTTTGTTAACATCCATAGATTAACATGATGAGTATGAATGATTGGCAGTAGACAGACCTACATTTGAATCTTGGTTCTGTCTTCCTGAATGCATGATTTCTGTCTAAGTCCCTGATTTTTCTTTAATCAATTTCCTCTGTAAAATGGGAATAACAATACTACTCACCTGATAGGATTGCTGAGAGACATAATTGATGTGAAGGCATAGGACTTGACATAGAATAAACATACAAGAACTGTTAGCTATTCTTTTATATATTGAAAATATTAATATAATAGAAAACATTTTAATAGTAATAATTTTAGGTTTGGCTAGGACTTTATAGTAATTCATATTTTTAGATACTTTATTTCATTAATCCATTAGTGCAGTACTCTGTAGTATTTTATCCACATTAGAGGTATTTCAAAGGGGCATTTAGCTGCCTGTTGCTTATACAATGGTGGATACCCTAGGAGGTATATGAAGTACCCTTGCTCATAAACTTTTGGGAGCACTTTCTTATTGTCAGTTTGTGCCCTCTTTATCCTGATAGTCTCCTTTTTGGCTAGCTTCTCCTTCTGTTTCTAGGAATTGCATACTTCCCCCTAAACTTGAGTGCACGCAACCCTTTGTTGCGTCTCATTTCTGTTGGATGTGCCACTGTTAGCCAAGG